GTGTAACAAACATCAAGTATTGTTCATAGGTGACAATATTTACTTACTAGAACTGAGAAAACATGAAAAAGACAATAAATATATACTTACAAACTCTACTCTTTCATTTCCTCTAAAACTCCTTAAAAGACCAACTCCCCACAACCTGAGGGAGTTCCCTGGCATAGCAACAGTGTTTTAGTAACTTTACTTAAGAGTATGCAGATGTCTTTGTTTAGAGACAAGAGAATGTGGACTATGGCCGATTTCTTTGATCAATATTTAAAGGTGGAGATTAAATATTAGGCTTCTCTTCAGATAAATTACAATGACACCTGTGGAAGCAGATCTCTATAATAGGGGACTGGGCACATTTCTATGATGAAATGCAAGGTTTCTTATCAATGATGTAAAAAATGGTTAAGCTGTCTAAGCAATTAACAGTATAGTTAGATAGGCTGTAAGCCACATACTGTTAATGTCATCAATGAGACCCTCTCTACAGCTAACTTCCCACATACGTGAGGCACATCAACACTTAGTATGTTTCTTTTGTCATCTACACAGTATTTAGGACACTAGTGCCTAGTGTCACTAGTCACTAGTGACCATTTAGCTTAACTCAGTGCAATACCTATGTGGTTTTTTCACAGAATTTCTAAGTTATCAAAATCCTCAACAACACAGATAACATTAGAAACAGGATGTTCACCAGACAGTGCTGGTGCACACCTTTAATCCCAGCACTTTGGAGGCAGAGGCAGGCAGATCTACAAGTTTGAGGCCAGCCTGGTCTACGGAATGAGTGCCAGGACAGCCAGGACTGCACAGAGAAACCCTGTCCTCTTCCCCCCAAACAAACAAACAAACAAACAAACAAACAAAACAAATCAGAGCCAGGATGGCACACTTCAGGTTGTTTGTATGTTTGCTTGGTACAAACTTCATCCCATAGGCTGAAATGCCTCTTCTGGCCCACCATTTTAACAGATTAATTCTGTTTTAAATTCTGTTTAAAATTCATCCTCTCTGCAAACCTGGTGAAACTGGAAATCAATATGCTTGTTGTCTAAACTAACATACAGTTGTTTTCTGGTATGCTATTTATATTACCCACAAACAACTGTGTGTGTTCACTTTTCATTTGCCTGTAAAGAAGGGCACACCTGGAGATAGGAAACAGAAACTTCACTAACCGTCATTCACTACATTCCAAGTTTTAAAATGTGTGTTGAATACAACAATCACAACAAAACCTAAAACTGCAGCATAGCAAATACGAATAGAAACCTGCCTAAGGGCAGACCTGATGTAAAACTGATCTTGTCTCCATCATTATGCAGCCAAGGAAACAAATGGTCCAAAAAATTCACACCCTAGCTTCAAAAGAAAAAAACACTCCACATAGAATAAAAATTAATCAGCAACGGAAACTAAAACTCTATTACAACAACAACAAAAAATCTATTCTGCCCTATGTGTCACAAGTCTTTATACTCTGATGTAAGATTGAAGAAATGGAAAAAATTCACAAAATATGTAGTTAAAGAAAGTAACAATCAGAAAAAGTTTATGACATTGATGGTGATTCTAAAAATACTTCAACATACTGCAACCGCGACCCTCAAATGGGGTGTTTTCAGGCCCAGCTGTTCAGAAGTCTTAGGTACACTGTCAGCACACTCTAGGGTGGAGGCAACAGATGAACACGTGTGAGAGCTCACTAGGAAGAGAATGCGCATCCACACTGACCATTCTGTGTCACAAGTGACTTTTAAACTATTTACTACTTTCCTCCAAAAAAAAAAAAAAAAAAAATTAAAGGCACATTTAGGCTTTCCACTCCAAAATTCTGGGTTGGCAAGACCCAAAATAATGTAGTATTTAACATTTTGATTCAATATTCTCTATAATTGTCTATATAAAATGTATCTGGACTGTAATTTTCCAGTCCAGTGTGTACACACCTACCTCACAACAGTTATGGAACACACAAACGAATGTTGCTTTCGGGGATTTGAAACTTTCAATGTATAATGTAAGCTCACTGCTATGTAACAAAAAGGTTTAGAAGCACTGGTGGGAATCCTTTTAGAAGCTGGCCAGGGTTGATGTGATTTGAAAGCAGAAATTTAGATCACACATTTATAGAATTCATTTTATTTTTTAAGTCCAATTAAATGCTGTTTTTAATTGAATTTTATGTGTATGGTTTTTTGCATGTATGTATGTGCACCTGATGCTTGCCTGGCACCCTCACATGTCAGATGAGAGAGTGTTAGATCACCTAGAACTGGAGTTAGCAGCATTTATGAGCCACCGTGTGAGGGTTGAGGATGAATCTGGGGTCCTCTGAAAGAATAACAAGTACACTTAACTGCTGAACCATCTCTTCAGCTCTAAATGATGTTTTTGAATTGAAATTTATTTATGAAAATAGTTGCAGTTATTACCAACCCTGATTGAGAGATCTGAGTTATGGAGTTAGGAACTCTGAGAGGCTAGCTTTAACTTTTACTGAGACCAGCGGCAACCCAGGAGTTTTTCTCTGTAGAGAACCTCCATTAGTGCTTGCTCCTATGTTCAGGATATCTCAAGGGCTCACACACATCTTTTCAGAAAATCCAGTTGGAATTTGATATGATTGTGACAATCCACAGCAGAGAGGCTGTGGTGATCTGAATAGGATGTCGTGAGCACTGCAATACTAGGTCTGCAATTGGAGATGCTGTTTAGGGAGGCTAAAGGGGTGTGGCCTTGTTGGAGGAGGCATGTCACTGGAGGCTGGCTTTGAGAACTATTTTGACTTTTCTCTCTGTTTTGTGCCCGCAGCAACTTGGGAACTAAAATAAATCACATTCTCTGCCAGTGAGTTGGGGGATGGAAGTTCTCAGCTTCCTGTTCCAGCTGCCCTATCTCTGCTCTGTCATCATGTACTCTTCTTGTCCTTGTCCTTCTGGAAATGCAAACCCAAATACACCCTGTCTTCTGTAAGTCACTTTGGTCATGGCATTTTTAGCACAGCAAAGGAAAAGTAAATCACAGGACTCTCCTAAGGCTTTGAAGGGCCCCCTTTCTATGCAATTCTGTTTGCCTGCCACTGAATAGGAACATTTTTCTACAGTAGATGTAATTCTCTTTTTGGTCTAAAAGGGGGGATAAAAGGAGAAAAACTCTGGTAATTACTACTGCTCACTGATAATTAAAAATAACAGGGAAGGGGGAACACACCCTGTGATGTTTTAAAAACGAGAAACAAAAGTGGAAGGGGATGCTAGAGAAAGACTCCAGTATGACATGGCCATCGACAATTCTGGGTGCCATTCAAGAGAAATTTGCCATCAGCAAAGTATTTCATTACAACTTAAAGCACTAGGGCAATGAATCCCAATTCTCTGAAGTGTGTTCTTACAGAAAGTGAGTCTGATCACAATGTCTTTAAAAGTGGACATTACTTGACTGTTTGTATCACATGACCTTTTTTAATTCTTGGAAGAGTATCTATCTAACACACACACAAACCTGGTCAGGTCACTCTACCAAGCCTAAAGCACAAAACGGAAGAGAACATAACTTTGCATGTGTTCTGATACAAAATAATGAAGTCACCCTATCTTACACAAAACTGTGATTCTATATTTTATATATACATTACAATATAAACCATAAAACATATATAACATTAGCAAGTCTTTGTGGAGTTTATGAGAAGCCAGGTAGCTGCTGCATCAAGACTGTTCGCACGTTTTCTCCGTTACTGTGAATTCCAACTAGACTCCTTAGCTAGGGACAGGCAGTAATGATCCTTCTATGTATTTAAGGAATTTAGTGGCAGCTCAATTTCCTGGCTAGAAACAAACTGAGATCTTAACCAAAGCCAAACAGCCTCTGAGGGAAGGAGTTACTAGAAAACAATGTAACTGAGGGGCCACCCAAGGAGTAATAAGAAACTCAGCCAGTGTTTCCTCGAATATGTTTTAGCCAACTGACTTCAGTCAAATTAAACTATGTCTGATAAATGGGACAGGACATACAAAACTCCATGCCTTCAGATGTCAACTGGGAAATGGGGTTTCTCAAGATTGTCACTTTGGGAAGTGTTAGCATCAAGTTCCTGAGGCGCGTATCTCTAATAGGAATAGAGACTTGGAAGTCTACAATGTGTTACCCTCTGAGATTACCAAGAACATCAGAGATCTTAAGAGAGCCAGCTTGATTTACAGGCAGCAGTTCCCAGAGCTCAACGGGTTCATATATAGGAGGCTCTTGAACTTTTTTCACTTAAAAAGCATGAAGTTAAAGTTAATTTTTAAATTTAAATGGCCAACTTAGAATATTTAGTGTTGAACATAAGAATAACCATCTATTTTCTAACGCAAACGACTGTTTTCATAGTCCTTCCAATGACATCACTTCTGAGCTGTCCTCTTCAGTGCCTCTAATGACAAAGATGAAATAAGAGCCACAGCAGTGAAAGCAGGACAGATTTTCTGTTAGAAACCAAATACATTTTGATTCTCTTCTATGTAATATCCTTGACTTTAACCCCACACCCCCTTTAGATTCTAAACATTAACAATGAGAAAAGACTTTATTACGTCCTGCCTCAGCACTTCTTAGGAAACTCTCCCTGATAAAGAGAGCCGAGTCTTTGTAAGCAACAATATGGCCTTTTATACATAATTGTGAAATTGTAACTTGTAGATAATAAACCTTTAAGTTGATACAATTTACCTCAATGTTTTACAGATTTCTGTTAAAATTAAGACGGCTTGTGTTCTAATCTCACAGAAATGAAAAATTGGTATTTCTTCTACTAAGGAAAAGAAAATACAAGGACTTTTTATAAACGCCCATACAGTCCCTTTTCAGAATGCAGACTGGATCTTCCTGGTACCTTGTGCTTTATTAGACGCTCAGTCTTTCTGTTCTACTCCAATGTCAGACGACAGGCATTTATCATTTCCTTCTTGCGGTCAGAAATGACACAATGTGAGACTATAGTAAAAAATGAAAATTACCTTGTTTATCTATAACTGAGTATGAAGCCAAAAATCCTCGCCCAGAAGCATGGATTCCACTCATGAACAGCACTGTGATTTCACTGCCTTTGGACTCAATCGACTGATTCATGTGTAAACCCAGACCACAGTATTTGCCTAGGAATGAAAGAAAAACATGTATTTAGTATGGCTCTCATAAAGTCAATATTTTTAATGTACATAATAATATAATACAACAAACCAGTTACTAAATTAATAAGAAATAAGTAAACTCAAAATAAATAAATAAATAAATAAATAAATAAATAAATAAATAAATAGTGAAAAGAAATAAGTAAAGGTCAAAAATCAAATTATTATGGAGGAAAAACTGAATGCCAGTAATAACTCTTTAACTGGTTCAAAACAAAACAAAAGCACTACAGATTTTAACAAAACTTACAGAGATTCAATTTTTATAAAACACATATATGCTTTCAAAACCATAATGAAATAGTTTTAGAAATAGGCATTGCAGACAGGGTGGTAGCCACAAGTAAGTGATGGGTCAGTAGTGTTTGTACAGGGGTCCCTCAGGCCTCCTAGATTCCTTGCCTCAGCACATTCTTCAAAATGTCCTCAAATGGACCCACTTAGTTTAGTTTCTGAGTATTATCAGATCTTTTTTGATGCTTCAGAGATCTCGTGGACTGACATGGCCTCAGCTATGAACTGGACTCAGTAACTTAAAACCTCTGTCCATAGCCTTGACCTCAAACTCAGATGCATATATTCAATGTATTACACACATGTAGAACAATACATATGCTTAGAGTAAATCCAAGTAAACTAAGATAGAGGAGGGAAAGAAATCATTGACACAAAATAGTCACCAATAGGTAATAAAAATGGATTTCCTTATGTGGCTCGTGACCAGACTAGCAAATCTGAAACACAGAGTCCTAAAAATTGTTTCAAGCTGTGGCAACAACATCATTTGAATAAGAACAATGTGTATTTCACATGATATCATTCATCATTGGAGAAATGATATTAAAACCATGATGATATATCATTACATATCCTAAGCTGCAGTCAATAGAACAGTTTATTAAGTGTCAGGGAGGATGTGAAGAAATCTGAACCATCACAAATTAATGGCAGAAATATAAAACAGGCAATTCTGAGACAACTTGGCAATTTATAAGACAGTTATCTATGTAGGAGAAAAGAAGTACACCCACAGAAAGACTACAAATGGTTATTTCTATTTTCTATTCATTCTGCCTCAAATGAAAACCATTTGACTAGATCAACTAATACCTAGTGTAGTATACACTCATACTGAGGGACACTATCTGTTAATAGAAGAGAACAATTTATTTGCAACACAGATGAATCTCAAAGATATTATGGCAAATAAGAGAAGCCACTGTATAACATTCTAGAAAAGGTGAACAAAATCACAAAATTAGAGGTACAAAGTAGATTGTCTAGAGCTGGGGATAAACAAGAAATGCACTCAAATGTACTATAGTGAACTTCTGATGTGGTTTGAAATTTCTAAACCTGGAGTATAGTGTTATCTGTGCAGGTGCACATGTACTTAAACTCATCAAAGCATACATTTTAACAGCTAGTTTTGTGGTATATAAAACATACCTAACAGGGTTCATAAAAGAAACACAAAGACAATTTTTATTGAGTGTAATTTTTAGATATGAATGAATTATTTTTAAGCAAAAAAAAAAAAAAGGATCACAGAGTTAGATACTGCTTAGAAGTAAAAGAGATCATTAGAGAGCTATCCCAATCCACTCATCCAACAACTGAAAAACGGGAAATCATACAGATAGCTTGATCGCCTAAACACACACAAGTTAGTGGTAAAGTCAGTCTAGAACCTATGTTTTTGTTATGATTGCATCCTCTCCAGATTTTTATGTTGAAAACCTTAGTCCTATCATGACAGTACTTCAAGACACGCCTTTAGTTTTAAAAAAGATCATGAAGGTAAAGTTCTTTTGACAAAAATATACTTTTAGAAGAGGACCATGTGACAGAATAGGAAACACTGATGTGTTAAGCTAGGGGGAGGCATTGCCACACATTAAATCTACTCACTGGGCCTCAGAACTTGGAGCATCTAGAGAGTTGAGAAATGACAAGCTGATGTGTAAGCCTGTAGCACACTTGTTACACTAATACAAAGGAAGATAACATACACATTCTCTCTCATGTCCCATCTTTTCTCTTCCATATATTACTCCACCATCAGGAAGGGATGACAATACTTTGGAGCAGAACTGTAGAGTGTCCAGTGTTCTCTTCCTCCCACAGCAACAGCCTTTGGCTTTTCCCATCTCCATCCCACCAACAGCCTCACCCCTGACTAAATTAGCACATATTCTGGCTCGTCTTCAGTAGACCCTGCCCAAGTGTGTTGCAGTGATACCTTTGCTCACCCTGACTTCATTATTTATAAACCTATGCTTGTGGAGAACTGCATCCAGGAACTCATCATTTGCTTAAAAGGTCCCTTTGATCATTATAGAACTTTTAGGAAAAGATTTTTAAAAACAAATGAACAATGAACAATGGTTACATCTAAACGCTATCTCTTTGGAACAGTTAAGTCCCACCCCAGTTTCCCACAGGCCTATACACTCCATTATGTCTTCAAAACCACTCACGATCATGATGGTGCTGTTATTTTTTCCAGTGCTTAGTTGTTTTTTCTGCTCATCTGGTTCATACTGTGAGCTTGTATTCACCTGTGTAGACTTTAGAAACTTAACTGCTGTCACACCTCTCCAGACACTCAGAAGAAGGCATCGGATCCCATTACAGATGGTTGTCAGCCACCATGTGGTTGTTGGGAATTGAATTCATGACCTCTGGAAGAGCAGTTATTGCTCTTAAGCACTGAGCCATCTCTCCAGCTCCCAAGCAAATACGATTAAGGACAATTTTTCAGAACCTAGAATAAGAGCACCAGATTCTACAGTAAACTTTGGAATTCTCAAAGGAAATGTTTTGAGTATTTGTCACTGGGCCCTCGGTATCCAAGAGCCCACTGGCAGGGGCTGGGACTCCATGATGAAGTGCAATGGGCAGTGCTGCCACTCCAAAGGCTTAGTTCAAGTGAGGTCAGAGCAAGTCCACAGTGGGGACCTCCCAGGCAGAATGGGCTACTGTATGACCACATCTCCGGAGCTATTTAGAACACACCCTCATTAAATAGCACCGGAGCTTTGAAGAATTTATCCTTTTAGGCTCACTGAGCAAAGGTAGCACCGCAACACACTTAGGCAGGGTCTATTGAAGACAAGCCAGAATATGTGCTAATTTAGTCAGGGGTGAGGCTGTTGACGGGATGAGGACAGGAAAAGCCGAAAGCTGTTGCTGTGGGAGGAAGAGAGCACTGGACACTCTACAGTTCTGCTCCAAAGTATTGTCAGCTCCCTTCCTGATGGGGAAGTAATATATGGAAGAGAAAAGATGGGACATGAGAGAGAATGTGTATGTTATCTTCCTTTGTATAAGTGTAACAAGTGTGCTATAGGCTTACACATCAGCTTGTCATTTCTCAACTCTCTAGACGCTCCAAGTTCTGAGGAGTGTTTATCAAAATATACCAGTAAGGGAGTAAAATGATAGCTCATGGAAAGACGGGAGATACGTGCAATACACATGTCCAAAAGGAACTCATAACTGGACTGACTATGTTTACAGAACTCCTACAAATGAGTAAGGACACAAACAAAAGCAGGAGAGCCAGGCACTGGGACACAGGTCTGCAGCCAATGCAAGAGAATCATTTGAGGTCATGAGTTCAAGGCTAGCCTCAGCAACACAGTGGGATACTGGGAGAAAAAAAGAGGTGGGGAATTAACCAATAGAAAAAGTAGAGAAAACTCAACAGTCTTCACAAAAGAAAACATTCAACTGGTTAATGAACATGAACGGTGCACACCTTGAACCATCCTGGAGACACAAAGCAAATTATAAGGCAGACTCAGCACACACCCTAGACAGTGATACCAATCAAATTAGAGAACACTGCAGTGGAGTGAGGTACAAGTCAGCACTCACTGCAGTCACTGAAGCCTCTGGTGATGTCTAGAAATCTAACCATCCTCAACAAATGACTCCAAACTCATCTAAATATAGAAATGTATGCTGAGTCCAGAGTGGACGGCTAGTAGTTACCCAAACCTGATCACTCCACGGATAGAACTTCATCATTTTTAGTGTGAAGTTGGACTCACTTCAAAGCTTTCTACAAAGTAAATAATGCTAAAACTGCAACAAACATCATTCCAACACCTGTTAAGTTCTCTAGAGCTGACTCTTCAAGAGCAAGCTCCACTCAGTATGGTATCCTCAGTACAAAAACAGCACCACCATCATCAAACCCACAAAACATCTGAAACTTTAAAATGTTTCACTTATCCAAAGTACAGGGAAGGAATGGAGCTGGTTTTGAAGTCTTTGGTTGTAAGTATTATTGCCCCTGAAATATTCTCTTAGAATTACAGCTGAATGAGGCATGCAGGAGCACTAACACAGCAAACCAAAGCATCCTAATACAAAGATTACAGCATCCAGAAGGATCAAAGTATCCACTTAGTGTGACTGATGTGCCCTGTCACACTCTTCTGAGTAAACTTTCTCCCTCCCTTGTGATACTTACACTCTAAGAGTGACTTAAGAGGTATTTTCTAAGCCTGGCAAGATGACTCAGCTTGTTGTCAAATGTGATGACTTCAGTTAGGTCCTAAAAATTCATATGGTTTAAAAAAAATCAATTTCTACAAGTCCTCCTGATATGTATATATGCATGCACAGACATACACACAAACAAGTGTAATTATTTTTAAAAATTATTTTCTGAGGTCAGTTTTGTGGCACATGCCTGTATGGATACTGAGGCAGGGAAATTACTCCAAGCATGAGGCTAGCCTGTGCTACATTATAGGGCTATGCTTCAAAAGATCAAACAAGAAAGAGCTATCTTCCGGAAAACCAACAAACTTCTGGCTAAAAGTAAATTTTATATTCTATTTAAATGTCCTGATAAAATCTTCTGAAAAGGTGTTGTTAGAAGGTCTGGGATCTTCTAAAGCTCACAGCTTCTTAAAGATAGTGAGCAGTCCCTATGCCAACCACTCTAG